AATATTTGTACTGTTTGTATTAGTGTATGAGGACAGACATAACAAAATACCACAGACTAGGTGGCTTAAACCACAGAAATTTGTCAATATTTTCTTAATGTTCTGGATGCTGGACATCCAAGATTGAAGTATTGGCCACTTCATGTTCCTCTTGGACCTCTCTGCTTCCTTTCCTGATGACCACCCACTTGCAGTACTTCATGGTCTGTACTCTGGGAGTGTACAGGAACGTGTTCCTTCATGCATGTCCTAATCTCTTCTTCCTATAGATATTGATATAGTTGGATCAGAGCCCAACCCCCCCCAAACAAAACAAAACAAAACAAAACAAAAGAAAACACCTTATTTTAACTTAATATACTTTTTGAAGGCCATATATCCAAATGCAGTGGCATTCTGAAGTCCTTTTATGTGCTTATTTAGAAGAGAATAAAGGTTTCAGAAACCAGCAGTCAGTGTAATGGATTTTCATAGTCAACAATGGTTCAAGTCCCGGACCTGGTGGCTTAAAACTCACGCTGGGCAAGTGTGTGTGTATGACTAAAATCCCAAGAAGAATAGAGAAGAAAGGATTGCAGTGTGACCATCCTCCCAGAGGGTGATTTCTTGCTTTCTGTCTCTCTGATCTCCAGAAATAGCAAAAAATCTCTCTTTTTTTTTTGGAGAGGTTTTCGCTATAGGGTGCGTGCACTCGCCAGACAGACAGAGAGAGAGACAGAGACAGAAAGCAAGAAATCACCCTCTGGGAGGATGGTCACACTGCAATCCCTTCTCCTCCATTCTCCTTGCGGGATCTTGGGCACACACTCCCATGTGCCCGGCATGAGTTCTAAGCCACCGGGTCCAGGACGCGAACCGCGGTCGACTACGTAGGAGTCCAGCGACATAGCCATTACACTAATTGCTGGTTCCCGCAAAAATCTCTCTCAAAAAAAAGAAATGAGAATAAAGGTTTCAAATCAAAGACTACAATTTCACATTAGAAAGTGAGTAAAACAAGGGCCAGCAGGTAGTGTGGTGGTCAAGGTACTAGATTCTCACATGGTGAACTGTAGTTCGATTCCTGGATCCAGTGGCTTGAAAATCATGCCCAGCGCATGGGTGTGTGTGCCCTAAATCTCCAGAGGAGAATAGAGGAGAAGGGATTGCAGCATGGTCATTCCCCCAGGGGGTGATTTCTCACTTTCTCTCTGTCTGTTTCTTGTGAATGCATGTGCCCTATGGCAAAAAAAATTTTAAAAATTAAAAAAAATTAAAAAAAGAATAAAATTAAGCTCAAAGAAAATATAAAAAAATAAAAATAAGTGCAGAAATTAATGCCATAATAAAGAAAATAACTTAGATAAAGTCAAGAAAGTAGTTTTATTGGTAAAATTTAGTGACATTAACAAATCTCTAAACACATAATATGGAAAGCAGGCCTAGAAAAGACCCAAATTACTTATACTAATGAATTGCCACTATTAGGGTAAAAAACACAAAACTCATTAATAATTTAAGTATTTATTAGATTTTTGGTCTTTTCCCTTTACTAAAATTAAACCTTTATCAGAGTAAGAAAATTTATTTAAAAAGTGTTTTTCATTCATCTATGAGTGATTCTGGGCACATTGTGGGTATTCAGTAAATATTTGTCAAATGAAAGATGAACAGATGAAGATTTTGGTCAACATTAAATATTTTATATCAAGAAAGAAGAAAATAAGTTTACAATTAAGAAGGCAATTATAAGCAGTACATAGATTTTGCCAAAGGCCTAGCAAAGGTAATACTTGTGTCAGACTTTTTTTTTTTTTTTGAGAGGTTTTTGCTACAGGGCGTGTGCACTCACCAGAGAGACAGAGAGAGACAGAGAGACAGAAAGCAAGAAATCAGTCTGGAGGGATGGCAACGCCCCAATCCTTTCTCCTCTATTCTCTTCTCAGGATCTTGGGCATGCACACACACATGCGCCCAGCGTGAGTTTTAAGCCACCAGATCTGGGACTCGAACCATGGTCAACTACATGGGGGTCCAGCCACATAGCCATTATGTTAACTGTTGGTCCCAGACTTCTTTCTTGCAAGAATATGATGTTCCAATGATATCACAGGACTTTACTATTTGATTTCTTTCCCCATTTCTCTTAAAGTAATTAATTTTGTTTACTCAGGTTATTGAAAGAAATGTGAGGATTATTTTCAAAGAAGCTGAATAGACAAGTAGTAAAGATGCTTCGAGAAAAGAATGGCATAATTCGAATCAGCAGTAATTAAAATTTAACAACCTCTCAGCTTAGAGAAGGACATTCTGAATGACATGATTGATAGACTTGTTCCTAGCCTTACGATATATATAAATGTGCACATTACACTGAAGTCCCAGGAGTGAAACTGATTTGTCATTCTAATAGTAGTTGGGCCTATAAAAAAGAGATGGCAACTTTCAATAATCACTTATATGTCCCTACAATCCTAAGCAGCTAATTTCACTGCTTTTCTTACTGTATTTCAGGACACTGTTTTGTCTACGAAGGGTCCCATGATCACACTAGAGCTAAGAGCTGTGAACATTGCTTGGATTTCATTTGATGGCGGTAACAGACAGGAAATCTGTCAGACAGCATCTACGAGATACCTGTTGTTATCTTTTTCTCCTTGAAAAATGTGGGAGAAGCTATACTGAGACTGGCACATGACTACCATGAGATTTCTGAAAGAAGAAACTTTATCGATAAATAAGATAATTACACAATTAGACTGATGTGAAAAATAAGAGTTGCCAAATTCACTCAGCACTACATCGTCTTTTCCTACCTTCCTCTTCAAACTCCTGAGAATAAATTGACACATGCATGTATAAGTGTATATTTAACAACCAGTAGTATCTAACACTGAAATGTATTTTACATCAAAGGTATTCTTCTGATGACATTGTATTTTTTAAATAAGTAATATTTATTTATTTTTTTAATTAATGATGACATTGCATTTTCTTATTATTACACAAATAATTTATCGCTTAACTGGTCAATCAGATATATTTTTTGAACGTCTCAAATTGGCTTATTTTGAAATTATATAAAAAATATAAAAGTAGGTTGGTGCTACATGTCAATCATACCACACAATCATTTGTCACTTCTAAATCAAAGTAATACATTCATAAGTTAGCATATATATTTTTACCAATATCCAAAATCAGCACTAAAAATGTGTATCTGTGGGATGGCCCCACAGTGCAGTGGCAAGTGCTGTGCATAGAGAGCTGGATCTCACACGCCTCACTGCTGTTTGTGTCCCAGCCTGGGCAGCTGGAGAACTGGCGCTCGTGTGTGCATGTCCACATCCTGGCGGGATGGAGAAATGGAGGAAAGGAGACCGTTGTGTGACAGGTCCCATTGAGGGATGTTTTCTCTCTCTCTTGATCTCTCTCTGTCTCTGGCAAGTGCATGTCCTCTCAGGATTGGAAAAAAAAATTTAAATCCGTATTTACAATTCTCACATTTATGAAAATTTTAATATAGTATGATTATTAATTCAGATGAACTTTAATATTTTTTTTGAGTTAAAATATCTTTCATTAACAGCCAGTTTAGAGGATTTCTGTTTTGAACATATGACTTTTTTTTCCTAAATTACTTATTAAAAAAAGAGTTTTTGTTTGTTTGTTTTGTTTTGTTTTGTTTTTAATGCAAAGATATAACTGAGGGAATATTCCTGCTATTTGTCTATGTATGTTTTGCTTTCAGGAAATAAGTTAACTCATTTTTGTCTAAAAGCTTAGCACCTTCTCTAAGTATGTACATATTCTTTGTTCATTTAGTCAACAAAAAACATGAATAGAATGAAACTTCTAATGGCAGATTTCTTTTTTTTTTTTTTTTTTGAGAGATTTTCGCTATAGGGCGTGTGCGCTCGCCAGACAGACAGAGAGAGACATAGAGACAGAAAGCGAGAAATCACCCCCCAGGGGGGATGGTAACGCCGCAATCCCTTCTCCTCCATTCTCCTCTAGGGATCTTGGGCATGCACGCACACGCGCCCGGCGTGAATTCTAAGCCACCGGGTCCGGGACGCAAACCGTGGTTGACTACGTGGGAATCCAGCGACATAGCCATTATGCTAATTGCTGGTTCCCATGGCAGATTTCTTTTTAAAGGTTTTGATAGTATTATTTGCTGATCTACTCAAAGATTTTGACTATTGTGGCTACTTTTTCAGTGGCCACCCATGATATAATTTGCCCTATATGTTTTAAACAATGTTTAATTGGAGATATGAACCCTGAATAATAATGTTTTATATTAACCACTTAATTTTTAAAAAGTGATTTAAAAACCAACTTCACACTATTAGAGAAGCTGCAATTGAATCAGATCAAGGCCTGAACCATGGCATTGTCAAACACTGAAACACAGTGATGATTACTTTTTTTATCTAATGTTTGGGATAACACTAGGGATTTGGTGATAAAAAGATAATAGTCCTCTAAGACAGAATAGCATTTTCATTTTGGTAGCTAGGTTTTACATTTATAATCGTCCTTTATACTACAAGCATTGCTTTTTTTAAATAAACAATTTTAATGGTTACCAACTTTGTATTTTGTTTTCACTATATTGCCTCATTTATGGAAACAGATGGGTTTATCTAGAATGATGATCAATGTACAGAGTTGATTTTTTTGAAGCTTATTTATTTCTTTGTTAAGAGAGATGAGGAAAAAGAGAGAAAGAAGTACCCTAAACAGGGTTTCACACCATGATCCTGTCTCCACCCTCTCCTAGCCAGCCAGGAACATAGGCACATACCTGTGTGTGGGTGGTGTATACATGTCAACCCAGGAACCAAACCTTAGTCTTCCACATAGCTTCCAGGGATGCAGAGTATTATAATACCACTTTTGTTAAGAGAGATGAGGAAAAAGAGAGAAATAAGTACCCTAAACAGGGTTTCACACCATGATCCTGTCTCCACCCTCTCCTAGCCAGCCAGGAACATAGGCACATACCTGTGTGTGGGTGGTGTATACATGTCAACCCAGGAACCAAACCTTAGTCTTCCACATAGCTTCCAGGGATGCAGAGTATTATAATACCACTTACCCCTATAGCTGGGCCTAGAAAGTTGATTTTAAGAGAAAAGTTAATAGATTTTCCAAGATAAAACTGAAAACAATATTCAAACGCTGTATATAAAATAGGTTTTATGATAAAATTGTCTAAACTCTTAACTCCAAAGCTTAATTTTAAAATATTCATTAAAATAAAGCCTGATTGACTTTGATTGGGCAAAGGAGTTATTAAATGTCTAGACTTAAATGAATCACTTAAGATATTCTGACTTTCTAACCATCAAATCCATTTAGAAATGATAAAGAAATAAACACTAAATGCTTGATTTGACAAGCTCATGCTATGCAGTTCTTCATGGCTGACTTTCTTTCCCACATCTATGATATAATTTAATATTTTTTCCTGATGTTTAAAGTGTTTAGACTGATAGGAAAAGTAAGAGTTGCCAAATGCATTTGATCATTTTATTACCTTTTTCTTTTGTTTTTCCTTAGATTGTTGTTATAGGGCATGTGTGTTTGCTAGAGAGACAGAGAGAGAGAAACAGCAAGAAATCACCCCCCAGGGTATATGGTCAGGCCTTGATCCCTTCTCCTCTATTCTTCTCTTGGGATTTTGGGCATGCATGCACACACACCCAGCATGAGTTTTTTTTTTGATAGTTTTTTTTTTGCTATAGTGCTCATGCGCTCGCCAGAGAGAGAGAGACAGAGAGACAGAAAGCGAGAAATCACCCTCCAGGGGGGATGGTTACGCCACAATCCCTTCTCCTCCATTCTCCTCTCGGGATCTTGGGCACGCACGCACACAAGCCCGGCGTGAGTTTTTAAGCCACCGGGTCCGGGAAACGAACCACGGTTGACTACGTGGGAGTCCAGCGACATAGCCATTAAGCTAAGTGCTGGTTCCCCCAACATGAGTTTTAAACTGCTGGGTCTGGGACTTGAACTGTGTTTGGCCAGAGTCCAGCAATATAACCATTACACCATCTGCTAGTCCCATTTTATTACCTTTTCCTACCTTCTTTCTGCTCCACAGAATCAATCAACACATGTATTTGCAAATGTATATTTATTAACTGAAATATTTAATATTCGAGTGGCTTAAATAAGAAGATGGTTAAAAGCCCTAACCTAGTCCAGCCTCAGTATTATGCTCTGGATGTTGCTGCTACTTACACTGAGGCCGAAAGAGAGGCCTGGATTTGATTCCTAGCCCACCCTACAAAACCCAGCTCAGCGGTCTGGGCCCTGTAGTCCCACCTACTAGGAGGCTGAGGTGGTAGGATGGTTAGTGTGAAGAGCGTTGGGGAACCATGTTTAACAGAGCCAGTGGCTGTGCCTATTTTTCTGGCTTCTTGAGAGGCTGATACTGAAAAATATTGACATGGAGAGAATCTCTCTTAAAAAAACAAAACACACACACCCACACCCACACACCCCCCTAACTTTTGTCCAGTCCAAGTTAGAATCAAAAGTATTAAATTATTTAGGAACCAGATGGTGGTGCAGTGAGGCTGAACTACAGGGAGAGGTTCTAGGTTCATGGCTGGAGACCTCCCTGAGCATGCTGAGTACACATGTACCCATAATCTGGGGCTAGATGAGGCTGAGGGTGGGCTGTAGCATCAAGACACTCTTAGGAATGCTATCTCTCTCACTTGCTCATGGGAGAAATAAATAAATACAATTTAAATAAGAATAGGTTACTTATAGGCTATGTCTTCATATCCATGAGTATTTGTTTCAAACATTCCCTTTTATGCCAGTTTCCTACTTAAATCTTTCCTTAGGCTTTTACTGTATGATTCCATTTACAAAGTCTAGCAAAGCTATGCATGGGAATTGTATATTTATTGTCTTGCTTAAATACTCGTTTTTTTACTCTTTTTATTTGGTCAGCATAGTTTTCATAAAGAATTTTTTTCTGTCATACGGACTTGTACTTGAGAAATCATAAGCACAAGACCTTTTCCCCCCATAACTTGCCACATATTTATAGATACTGTCGTTCTTCAGTTTAGGTCATCATGTTTCCTGTAGATACTAAGCACACTAATTATGCCTCATAAATACAGGTTAAGCTAATCAAGTGTAGTCTTGCTGTGTCCCTATAAACACATTACATTGCCTCTTTGTACTTTTGCCAAAAAAAAAAAAGGAAAGAAAAAGAAAAAGAGAGAGAGAAATTAAATAATATTTACCACTTTCTCCCCTCAAGAGTATTGAAGGATTTTGGAAGTATGCAGAACTTTCTGAGAGAGATATAGTGTTTAGAGCTCTGTGGAAAAAAGAAATAAACACTTGTATATAAATGCAATACATCATTTTTATAAGATCTCCTAGCAGCCTAATGAAATGAATGCAATGCACTCTACCAATACATTTCTTACTTGGGCTTCATCCAACTCACCAAACATAATTAGGAAGTAAAACTTTTGCTGTTGCTGTAAACCACAACAGTGCGGAACTCTGTATAATACGGGTCCTTTTGGACTCTGTCCAGTTAGATATTGCAAGTACTAGAAGATCTTCATTATAGTATGATTCCATGGGGATGGTTTTAGCACAAGTTTCCAGTGTGTTATTTAGGGCTCCAAATACAAAGTGCATTGTGTTTCTGTTGGGTTATTTATAAAACAACTGTAGCCAAAACTATAGCCAAATTATAGCTTTAATGTTTTGAAGTGTTTAATATGTACCAATAGCTGGATCCAAGGTTTTTAATTTTTCTTCCCTTTTTAAAAATGTTATGTTTTTACATCAATCTCAGTTCTCTTATTCTTTCTGATTTCAAACTTGTGGAAGAGTAGTCTTTCCCTGTGGCTTTCCTTTTCTTTCCTACCACTCTCAATTTAAAAAGAGAAATAGCCTTGTTTTTGTCTTCTCTACTGATCCAATTTTTCTGGAAGGACACAAATAATATTAGGGGTAAATCCAGAATTTTCTTACTTTTTGTTGATTTGTTTTACTGTCCTAACTCTCCTTATATCTTGCCAGAGGGCATATGTACTCATCAGTGAAACAGAGGAAAAGGGGAAAGAGAAAAAAATCCTCCGAAGTGGCATGTGCATGCTGCAGTCCTTTTTCTTCCCTTTCTCCATCCTGTCAGGATTTTGAGCATGCATGCACATTTACCCAGTGTGTGTTTCTGAAGTCATGGGGCCCAGTGTTTTTTGTTTTCTGTTTTTTTTTGTTTTTTGTTTTTTTCGAGAGAGATTTTTGCTATAGAGCACATGTGTTCACCAGAAAGACAGAGACAGAGATAGAAAACAAGAAATCACCCTCAAGTGGGGGGCTAACCATGCTGGAATCCCTTCTCCATTCTCCTCTTGGGATTTGGGGCATATATGCACATGTGCCCAGTGCGAGTTTCAAGCTGTTTGGTCCAGCCAGGACTTTAACCTCAGTCTACTACATGGGAGTCCAGTGATGTAACCATTACTCCATCTGCTGGTCCCACTGGGGTCAGGATTTTAAGTGTGATTAACCTGATGGTATCCAGTTCTCTTAACTATTGAGCTACAACACAGACCCTGGGTGCATTTTGTGGTGTTGAATCCAGCACACTTTTTGATACGTCCTTCTTTATCGTCCACTGTACTACACTCTTT